ACTCGCTTGTTTGTGTCCAAGAGCCTCTGAAGAAGACCCATAAGCACTTTCTCAAACTGTTCATAGCCCTTCTGATGGCCACTTTCCTGGAAAAGAACAGGAAGATATCTAATCAAATCTCCTTGGAACAAATAAAGTAAGATACATCCCATGTAAAATTATACCTGGATTATATACTTGCTAAATCGAGAAAGCGTCCAACAAGATATGCTTCGAATGAGAGGGAACTTATCATCTAAAAGAGGGAGAAGAAATGCTGCAATCTGCAAGAATAAGGTTCTAGCACCTTAATGTCATGGATGCAGAAAACTGAATGATCATGACAAAGATTAACAACAAACTTGCCTCAGACAGATGAGGATAAAGACCATTGATGCAACCTTCAGCAATGGCCCCAAGGGCCAAAACGGCAGCTTCCCTTTCTTTCCAAGCCTCATCACCAGCAGTCGATAATTTTGCCTACAAAATACGAAACGAGATTTTAGACCAGTGCCTTGTTTTCATTCCACAAGACCGAAACGATAGACAATTTCTAGTTTAAGACATCCTTGATAAAATATTAACACTAGTACAATGCTCAGTGTACTGCTGTACTGCCAACTCCCCTCCAAAGCACACACCAAACAGAAAAACAGGCATAGACATGTAAAAACAAGAGAGAACACAATACAGATAAACTGCAATAAGAAGAACAATAACCTGAATAAGGGGCATGAGCGTTGGGAGGATCTCATCTCCAAATACGTTAGAGAGAATGTCAAGAGCGGCTGCACTGCACTTTCTTAAATTCCACACGTTAAATGAATCATCATCCTGTACCCAAAGAAAGTCATTATAGCAGGATCTATATAATCTGAAATTTGCATTAAGCCACTAAGCAATTCATACAAAACAAATGCACCACATTTTCAACTACAACAGAGAAAATGAAAGTCAGTCACATACATCATCATCTGCATCCTCTGATCCATGAAATCTCGATGTATGAAAACGAGGTTTCAAATCCTGTAAAATAAAATACCATGAATAACAGTTGAAGAGAATGAATATGTAAGTCCTTGTGTGGTTGTGCAAGCACTAAGGACAATCAATTGTACCTGATCCCGGTCTGGTTGCGATTCATCTTCCTGCAAAAGCGAAAGGTTTCCGGATGTCATAAAACTGCAAAGTTATAAACTAAGAAGGTAAAAGAGCATGTATAACAAAAAACCAACCTCTGCATCCAAAAGTGACTCATCATCGTCTGCATAAGCCATGTTTGAAAGTAAAACCTACAACAGGTGCAGATAATATTTTAAGGGGTTCAACTTGTAAAACTCAGGAAAATTTCAATGCCTAAATCCAAACCAAAACCAGAAGAAGCGTCAACGTACTGGAATTAGACGAGGAAGAAATTCTTTTAAGTTATCTGGTGGCAGTTGAGCATCACAATACGCAGACCTGACAAGTCAAATTTACTTTGAGAAGCAGCAATGAAGAAGATGCGCTCAAGAGAGCAGAGAAAACAGACAAACATCTTAAATATCAGAGCTAAAAGAAGAAATGGCTAAGTTGGAATATAATAATATGGGAATTACCAGAATTCACATGCTTCAAGAGCCACTTCTTCGTCAGGGTCCTTGTTCACTTGTAAGATGTATTCCATGACATTCCTGACATGAGGCTGAAGAAGAGAATGTGTGTCAAATGCAAAACAGGATATCCCCATATGATAGACCGCAAAAGGAGGCTACAGATATCATTGGCAAAGCATAGATGCATGGCTAAGGCAAGGTTCTAACAGACGATTGAGAGCAAGAGACAAGAATCCTCTCATAAAAAGGAGTGATACTGGAGAAAATCTGAGGCAATGTCTACATTAGTAAAGGCGCGATGAGGCACATACCTCTAAGAACGAGGGACTAACTTCAATAAGCTGCACAAATGCTGAACAGACCTGTCAAACACAGAAAGACAAAACACAATCAACAGAATCACAATAACTTCCCAAAATTAAATTGGGAATGTGATCAGATCATATCACAGCTAAAGTGGCAAATGAAATAAAATAAATGCCCAGCACAAAAGCACAAAAACGAGTTTTTCTTTTTCCTATTAGAGAGCGGGATAATTAAAATTAAAAGTCTAAAACCGGCTTTAGGTCCTCAAATTCATGATAAAATTTGATAAAATAAAAATGCCTGGTAAGCCATCAAGCAATACGCTCTAAATGATTTACCAATTTTCTCACTTCTGGAGCAGAATCATTTGCAAGGAGAAATAAACCCTGAAGATACTTATCCATGGAATGATACAAGGCCTGCAAAGACATACTGTTAAAATCTACGTCCCTCCATCTCTAAGGTAAATCAGAGTTTTATAAGTAATTATTGATATTCTTACAGCAGGCATTGTTATGATATATTGGTTTACAGAACCCAAGGCGAGCTTCCTCAGTGAAGTATGGGGCGACTGGAAAAACTGCTCAACAAAACAAAGCTAAAGCTCAGTCTCGTGAAAACCGATCAAACTGTAAACCTGTGTGCTTTGCAACTTACTCAAAAAACCCATGTGACAAATACAGAATTAGATACTCACTTGAAATAACCTAGGGAGAAAAATGGTGATAGGCCGTTCTGCTAAGCCAGGCACTTCTAAATCCAAGACTTGAGGAACATCCTCACAAACCTATGTCACAAATGATCGAAAACACCAATTTCCATGACCAAGAACTTCAAGATAAATAAACCCCCGAGATAACTTCGCAACTGCATTACTTGGGGACTTTATGTTGAACCGAAGAACAGTAGAACAGCTGGCTAGAAACTACCAACATACCTTTGACAAAGCATCCATGGCACCCTCCATATGAATCAGGTCATTACTGTCTAAACAATTTACAAGTGCTGGCAAAAGCTCAGGCCATCCAGAAACCCCCTCTAGCTGAACAATAACACTGATGATAGTTCCAACTGTTGTCCGAATTTGCTTGTCGGCTGCCCCCAAACAAGGCAGCAACTCCGACTTGATGTATTTCTGGTTTTCTGGAGTAATCGATGCATAAGCCCCCCGTAGATTATTTTTCAGCAGCAGCCCAGCAGCTTGTCGAACCTCTATGGACCTACCCTGATCATTTTACCAGTACAAATTAGCTAGGATACAAATGTTTAGAAACAGAACCTAAGCGAACATGACCAAATGTTCCAAGAACCAAACTTTTCAAGGTTCAATTCTTCAAATTTTACTATGCATTAATTTACAGTTGGGTTTCCAGAAGATTTCTGCAGTGATTCGGGTATGAAGTCAATTAGGAAAAAACAAGAGATCAAACAGCAAAACCCACGCAACATAAGCACAAGCTGTTGTAGTACTAACAAATCACAGACCACCTTAACCCAAAATGAGACCAGAAGATCTCAGTTCTAACCAACCAACGATATGCAAGACCCACAATTCTCCAGCAAACACAATCCTACAAAAACGCAGAGTCTAGTAAACTGCAAAACCAACAAAACCCAATAGCGAAATGAAGTCAACAACCTCGAAACCCCAAATCCCATGACAAAACAAGCGAGCTCACGAGAGAACCCATAATCTCCACAAGCAGATTCAGCCAATAGCAAGGCAGGGAGAGAGGCGACAGCAGACAGATTTTCTCGGGAAACAAACAGGAAAAAAAAAGGAACCTCAGCGCGAACAAGGATGAAAGCTAGATAGTTATTGAAATCGGGCGACTGAGAGAAGTGCTGGAGCTGCTGCCAAATCTGGGACTTGTCGACGGCGGAGGAAGGAGAAATCTGCTGCTCGAGGAGGCCACAGATCCCGGCGAGGCCATCCTCTCGGGGCTGCCACGACGCCGGAGCCGCCGCCATGATCGTTGGCAAACTGGTAAATTTGGTCGTGGGGAAAGGGCAGAAAAAGGAATTTGATTCTTGGGACAAAACACAAGAGCGGAATGTGGAAGACAGAGAGGAGGAGGAGGCTAAGTTTGGGTTTTGATGGGTTTAATTTTTTTTAATTAAAAATCATTATAATGAAACTCGAAATGGCTGTTCCTAAGTTTATTCACGATCTCGGGGTAAACCGGGAAAAACCGGTTCGGTAAATTCAAGCATTTTTTTGGTACAACTTGGTTGGTATAAGTCTAATCTTGTCCAATTGTTTTACCTTCGTTAATTTACCAGATCCATAGGGGTAGAAAGATTTGCCAATGATTGCGTCGCGACAATGGTTTTTCAAATAAAACGATTTTAAAAGGTTTATAAATGCCAGATTCAAAACAAATTGACCTCAAAAACTATAGATGCCAACAAATGAAGTATAAAAATCTTTATATGGATCTTATACAATGAATATCAATCATTTCAATTGCACAAAGAAAACCAAATCACAATGTATCTCATGATAATCGAATTTTGTAGAATCCGGTATGATGACTGGTTTAGAAGCAAATGAACCAAACCGTAACCGAACCGAGTGGTTATGATTTCTCTAAAATAAAAAAAATCGAATCCGAACCTCAATCGAACCGAAAAACCGAATTTTTTTTAAATAAATATTTTTTATCACAATCGAACCGAATATAATCAAAATAATCGAACCGAATATAATCAAAATGGACCGAATTCAATGTAAAAACCGAATGGTTATAATTTTTTAAAAATCGAAATAATCGAACCCGAATATATTCAAACCGAACTCGATCAAGCCACCCGGTCTTATACAATGAATATCAATCATTTCAATTACACAAAGAAAATCAAATCACAATGTACATTTTGTACCTCACGATAATCGAGTTTTGTAGAGTCCGGTATGATGACCGGTTAACCAAACCGGGGGAGGTCCAAAGGGCACACGCAGCGCAGGAGCCGTGGACCAACTGATTATAATCATTTTGGAAATTGCTTTTTTCAAGAAGTGGGACCCAAAATTATTGGGAGCATCCCCCCTTCTATCTGATGCCTAAAATCCCGGTTCTGATCGCACGAGCATTTGTTTTACCCTAAACCCATCATCCATCATTGGACCAAATCTCCTTACAAAAAGCTTGGTTTACAGAATTTGTCTCAGAATCTCTGAAAGCACGTTCACAATTTAAAAAAAAAATCAATTCTTAGGAAAAAAAGCAGCGTGTTTACCTTCTAAAGATTTGAAGTTGGCCCAATAAAAGTGCAGTAAGCTTTTTTCTTCAGAAGTAGCCCAAAAAGCTCAATGCTCTCTGCATTTTTTTTTCCAGACATGGACAATACAACTCTCTCTACTCACTTCATTAGTGTGCCTCTTAGTCATGTCTCAGTGACAAGAGGCAGTGAGCCTTTTTGGTGAGGGATGGCTCATGGATGATGATGGGGAAGAGAGGCAAGTGATAAAAGAGTACAACAACAGGTGTATGATCTGCTTCTCTGTCTTCATGAAAGAGAAACCATCATGCCCTAAAGCATTTTTTTATCTATCCATGCTACAAAAAAAAAAAAAGGGAGTAAGGGATCTATGGATGGACTGCTTCTCTCTCTCTCTGGCAAATTCTGAGATTTTTGGAGAATTCAGAACTCTTGATCTGATCTCCTGCATTTCCAAATAATCTAATGTATAAGTTTACGGCTATTTCAAGTTCATCATTGCTGTGAGATTTGATGATGCAAAAAAAACAGGTCCAGACCAGTACGAGGTGCATGAACACTGGTGGGGGTGGATACTTCGTCTATAGAAACGCTCGAGTAGCAATCACTGCTCCAGGGAACGATCATTTCTGGTTCTTGGCCGCCTGTTCAAGACAAAAAATAATCTGTTAGAAAGCAAATAAATAACAAGTTGGCAAGAGTTGCAGTTTTGGAAAGTTGGATTTTTTTTTTTTGGGAAATGCAGGATAAGAACCAACCAAAAGCGTCTACTGACTCGGGAAAGAACTAGCTTTCAAAAACTCGAGAGCTGAAAGATTACAAATTTCAATCTTGTGGACAATAGCAAAGATATAAACAAAAGCGTGTGTGAGATGTGAAATGTGAGACCAAGTACTTGATGTAACTGGAACACCTATTTACAGTTACAAGTTAGAATTGCTAGACCAAAAAATATCATAAGATAATGGGAATGCGAAGTAGAAAAAGCTTCATAAATCAAGATATATATACTATGATGTGTTGACAATACCTTCCGTAGTTTCTCCAATACCGAGTCCTCGTAAGCCTGATAACCAGCACCTACTAAGTTGCTTTGTGGCTCATCCTCTGCAGATTTTTCAACGGTGGGAAACTCTGTTTGCACTGCTCGCTGAAGAGGTACAACGAGCAGTGGATTAGATAGATCGCCACACAATGTTCCCATGGCAGCAACCTAAGAGAAAGGAAATAATGACAACATTGAATGTTAGCTTGAAATATAGACAAATGGCTCAAACTACAATAAGGGAAGTAACGAGTAATACTTACAGCTCCATCCTTCGTGGCCATGATGACAAGGGCAGAACTTTTCTTCTTTGTACTCCTGATAACAACATCTTCAACCTCGCCAAATTCTGAAAAAACTTCTCTGAGTCTCTCTGCTGAGTAACCTTCACCGAGTTTCTCCCATGAAACCTTCAATACTCTCTCCTTATCCAATTGAACCCCACCACTATCATACCTTTTCTTTCTGTCTATACCACAGTCTAGAGTTTCGGAAGGACAGCTTTTCTTTGCATGTTTTGCGCGTATCCTGTCTATCTCCTCCTTAAGCTTCCTTGCAATTCTTCCCTCTTCGTCATGGGCTCTAACAGCGGGATCAGGGGCAAAAGCAAAACGCTCCCTTTCTTCCAAATCTGACATCATCTTACGCCTCTTGGAATCCACTTGTGATTGCCTTTTCTGTTTTTCACGCTTGACCCTGAGAAGATCATCAAACAACTTCCGGGCTTTTTCATCTTTGAGGATCTCATAAGATGTCTTCAGCTTCTGAAACTTCTCGTGAGCGTCTGGATCATCTGGGCGTTTATCCGGATGCAATTCCAATGCTTTCCATTTGTACGCTTTTGCAATCTCCTTCTCACTAAGCTTCATACCCTCCTCGCCAGAGGGTAACCCTAGAACGACATAGTGATCGACAAAATCCTCCATTTCTTCTATGCTGTTCTACCCTGCTCCAACAAACAACCAAACGGAATAAAAAATCTAAGCAAAACTTTCAAAGAGTAAACCAACATGAAATTCAAAACAAACCTTAATCAACCTGGAAAATCCTAAAATGTTTCTAGCAAACAATAGAATGGCCTTTTAGGGTTCTTTCTTCCCCTTGCTCATGCAGAGAACTTTCTCTAGCCAAAAAAAGCAGGCAAGAATTAATTAACACATACGGGTAAATGCATATGAGAACTAAGTATCTTTCGGTACTCTTTGAAACCCTAAATCTGGAAAGAAAAAAATATTAGAACTTTAACATTTCCTAGGAACAGAAAACCAGAATTGTTCTCGGAACAGACAAACAGCAAATTTCCCAGCACAATTGAGCAAATTAGATCCACGACTAGAAACCAAGCCACCCAATTTCTCAGAATAGCCCACGAAATTCCAATACATCAGAATCCAAAATCAGGCATCCGATAAAGTTCTATCGCTAAACCAGAAAACGAGCAAATCGAAACCCTAGCTGGGCAAACAGAACGAGAATGGTTCAGTAAAAGTCCCAATTCAGAGCCCTAGCTCAACACAGATAATTTCATAAAATTCCCAAACCCAAAACCCTGGCTAAACAAATCAAATCAACACAAAAAGGCGGATCCAAAAACTTGTAAAAACTCGAACGATTTCATCGAAGCCTTACCAGAATCTCCCCAATACGAAACCTGATGTCCGTGAGCGAGAGAGGAGAGAGACGAGCACTAGAACGAGAGACGACGGAGGTTCAAAAACTTTTATTAGTTGAGTCAATAAAAGGGGTTTTTTACCCAAATAATCCACTTGGTTCACATCTATTTCATCTGTTCATCATCGAAAACATAACACATTTTTTTCCCTGCGAAAAGACGAAATTACCTTTAATGAATTACGATATTTATCCATTCAAAAACAATTTCGTAATTAAGTCTAAATATAGTTACAATTGATTCTAAAAAAGATGACAAAAAATCATCTGTCTTATTTTTAGTTGTATATCAGTTATATGTTAGTCGTAATAAAGTCGCAAAAAATAAAACGAAAAGGGTATTTCAGACTTTTCCCACCGAAAAGTGGGTTAAAATTGAAAAAAAAAAATTTTTTTTGGGTGGTGCACACGGAAATAGATGCGACCCAAGTGGGTTATTTGGGTGATTTTCCCCAATAAAAGTAAAACTTTATTATATCGTTTTTTTTTTCAAATTTATTAGGTTTTTATTTGAGTTTTTTTAATAAAGAACTCATCTATATTCAATTCATAAACTAGTCTGAAAACAAAAAATTTACACATCTATAAATTGAATATAACGGAAAAATTTTATTATAAATTTATCTTGTTAGCATATAAAAAAAAATTCTTTCTATAACGTTCTAAATTTTACAAAATAGGCCGATCTATGATGGGCCTTGATGGGCCGAAACGCAATGTATAGACCCGACATGTGGAGAGTGGATCTGGACACCGTAAGAGCTGAGGCTGACTATTCACAGTTACAGAGCTTTCTATTCTGCCCTAGCGACGGAGCGGGAGAAACCAGATAGAAAGCTGAATCTCTCAGCTCCTCGCTTCTCCTGCTTCTTCTACTATTCCTTCCAAAGGTAAGAATCTGTAACGATTCCAAACTGAAATTGATCATATGATGCCCTCTTTTTCGTAAGATTTGTTGTCGTGGAGCTGTTTGGTGCGGATAGTTTCTAGGAGAAACCAGGTGTAGATGTTGATTGACTCCCCAGGCAATGAGTTGGGAACTCGGTCTGGTTGCTCTCTGTATGACTACTTGTTTCGTTGAAATTCCTGGGGTTCATAGAGTTTAATTGATTTCCTGCGTTTCCTGGACAGATTCTGCTGAAGTTATGGACTTTGATGAGTACGAGTATCTAGAGAAAACTGTTGAGAATCCTCAAATCGAGAAAGAGATTCCTAATGGCGGTGATAATGTAGCAAAATCCGAGGAGAAAGAGAAAGAGCGGAGTAGGAGGTCGAGGCAGAGAAGCAATGAGAAGAGGGACGATGATGATGACGATGGTCGACATTCTAAGAGGACGAAATCGGGAGATGAAACACGATCACGCCACCGCTCACGGTCTAAGGATGTGGAGAGGCGCCATCGGTCGAGATCTAGAGAGAGAGAAAGGGATAAGCACAGAAGTAGCCGGGAGCATAGGGATAAAAATCGTGACAGGGGTCGAGACAGGGAAGATAGAAATGGGAAGGATAGGGAAAAGGATAAAGATAAGGATCAGGACAGGAAAGAGCGTGACCCTGATAGAGAGATGGAGAGAGATCGATCACGGAGAAGCAGAAGTCGATCAGAAAGGCATCGAAGTCGTGAAAGAGAACACCGGGAAAGAGACTCCAAGGACCGTGATAGAGAAAGCAGGTGCCTGTTCTCCTTTTGTTTTGTTCTAACATTACTATTCTTATTCCAATTCAATTCAATCATTCAATGTGATCTTGGTGGCATTAAACTTGTGTGCTGAAGTCTTTTTTGATCGCAAAATCTCTTTAGTATAGGAATATTGATTTTCACATAGGGATCTTACCTTTACGCTTGCCTACTTCCAGGTTGTAGTGTCAACAATATCAAAGAAAAATTAAAACATTTAGGTTTTTGGTATGGCTTAAATTGTTGAATACATCCTAAAACTATAAACTCATTCAAATGTGTGATTTATGATTTATCTTTACTCTGCGCTATTTATTTCACACTATCTTCTCATTTTTAGGACCTTACTTCTTTTTATGATACGTTCTGCCTCTTAAAATACCTGCTGCATTCTTTTACTGCTTCCTCGATCTTTCTTTCTTCAAGAAGGGTATGTCATGGTTGGTTTTGTTATTGTTAGTCTAATGATTCAACAATGAAGATACTGGCTTTCAGTGCTCTCCATTTTCTCAATTGGAAGAATGCCATATTTTATGTTTTTTGGGTTATGCTAAATAACTATGAATCAAGCTTTAAGTTTTAACAGGTTCATACTAATGCTATTAGGTCCATTGGTATTGACATCAGTACAACTTGATGGGGCTCATTGCGTTTAAGATTATCATTTTTATAGGAGGTAAAAAGTTTGTGGTTTGTGACAGACTTCAGGTTGGTCCATGTTAAATTCGACTGAAAGAAGATCTGAGTTTAACTTTGTGTTTCTGGTCCAGCTCTTGTTGACTTTGCATAGTTCGATGCAGGGCCATGTAGCTCGGGCTTCGAGTGTACACGCATAATGGAGACATTTTTTCTGTTTTGGATTTTTATAAGATTAACGTATCGCACTATTCCTGAAGACTGCTTCTGATATATTCGCCGTGGCTTAGCCTGAAGTTGTCGGGCATATATGGAAAATTTTGAATGAAGGTCTGTAGCATTCAATAGGAATCGGGCTGCTAAATGCATGTTTGTTACTATTATGCAGACGGCCTAAAGATAAAAAGGAGGATAAGGTTGAGCCTGAGGCAGATCCTGAACGGGACCAGAGAACAGTTTTTGCCTATCAGGTATATTGGATGGGATGGCTTTTACTTCTTGAACTCTAATTTATGCAAATTATTGATTTATTGGAATGCAACAGCTTGCTTTGAAGGCAACTGAGAGAGATGTGTATGAGTTCTTCTCCAGAGCTGGAAAGGTTTGTTGTCAGTTTGCTAGTTTCATGTCCCGTAGTTTCAACGCCCTCCTTTGTGCAACTATTTTACTTTCACTGATGATCAAATACAAAACTAATGACCTTTTACCTCCTAATTTACATTTCAGGTACGAGATGTACGCATCATTATGGATCGCATTTCTAGGCGTTCGAGAGGAATCGGGTAAGTTTAGGACGAATTGGCTCTTTCAGAATTCAAAGGCAACGCTAGTCTATTACTGTAGATGTATTCTTAATTGTTTATGAAATGATTAGTATCAAACAGAAAAATGTGATGGTAAGCTTGGTGTCAATTACTGTGTCTGCAGATATGTGGAGTTTTATGATGCAATGTCAGTCCCTATGGCAATCGCACTATCTGGGCAGCCTCTACTTGGTCATCCTGTGATGGTAAAACCGTCAGAGGCAGAAAAGAATCTTGTTCAGTCAACAACAGCTGCAGCTGGAGCAGGAGGGCAAATGGGTCCCTATTCTGGTGGAGCCAGACGGCTTTATGTTGGTAACCTGCACGTTAACATGACAGAAGAAGATCTCCGGAAGGTAGATAATTTTATTTCTCTCAGTAACTGGGGCTTTCTTAGTGAAACTTGTAACTCTTTGAGTGGATCTTGCTGTCTGAGTATTAGTATGTTCTTCAAGTTTATAAAATTATTATCTAAGAGCTTATCATAGGAATCTTATTTATTGTTGCTAATTCTCATAATGATATTGTTCTTTTGTTATCCCTAGGTTTTTGAGCCATTTGGAACTGTGGAGTTGGTGCAGATACCCCATGATGAAACTGGTCATTGCAAAGGATTTGGTTTTGTCCAGGTAGGTTGAGTTTTTGTCAAACTTGATAGTGGTGTTTTTTGTGCTTTCAGGGTTTCCTTGTTGATGTTCCTTCTCGTTGACAGAGCTCTTTCTTTTTTCCTCTCTAAATCTCAAAGTTTGCCCGTTTAGAGGACGCAAGGAATGCATTGAATCTGAATGGCCAGTTAGAGATTGCAGGTCGTGCTATCAAGGTAAATATTTTTGGGAAGGTGGAGCTTGTTATAGAATTGTCTTTATCTAGTGTTAATTTCGTTTTCAAATCTCCAAACTATATTCAACAGTCTCCTATGCTATAAAACTCTCAAGCAGGAATTCTCTCTCTTTGTGATTAAGCGATGTTACATTATAGCTTTTAATCTCATGGGTTTATATTTGATTTCCTGTCAGGTGTCAGCCGTGACAGATCAAAATGGAGCCCAGGACGTTGAACCAACACAAACCACTGGCGATTTGGATGATGATGATGGAGGCGGCCTGGTTAGTAGCTTCTCAATATCTCAGATAAAACCTCCAAAAAAAAGAGGGATATTATGGATTCAGATAATCTATATTAGGCCTAATAAAGGATGGAACGATTTGCCATACCTTAAAAATGGACCATTGTCACACTATATTTATTGATCAGGGAAGCTAATGGTCTTGATGAACAAGGATAGATGTAGAATTTTGTGTTCTCCCTCAATAACTATGACTGTAACAGCATTGCATAGTAATACTAATAGTCACAATCCGTGAAGATGGATCAATTTTTTACTATGTTCGTTTTCGAATCTACAGAAACACATATTCAATAGTTATGCTAAAAGGTTATGGTATCCATGGCAAAACTAGTAGAAAGGCAGAGTTTAGTTTTTTTTAATCTATCATTCCAGTGGTATATTCATATTTGCAACCGTTCTTGCTTAAACTGCAGTCCCTGAACGCACAATCCCGAGCGCTTCTCATGCAGAAACTGGATCGTAGTGGAACTACATCAAGGTTTTCTCTTTGCTACATTTCGATTAATCTTAGCTCTTACAAAGTCGGATTCTTTTCCACTAAAACCTGTCATTTTTTTTGCAGCACTGGCCTCACTACAGCGGCAACGATTCCCGGTGCAGCATCAGTAATCTCTCCGTTGGTCGCTCCTCTAGGACTACCCGGAGCGGGCATTCTTCCCGGTGTAAATATTCCGACATTGCCTGACCCCGTCGGTGTTCCTACCGAGTGTCTGCTACTGAAGAACATGTTTGATCCAAAGACCGAGGTCTGTCATCTACCAAAACACTCCTGTTCTTACGCAGGTTCTGACCTCTTTAGCTAACCTTTTACGCTGTCTGTATGTCAGACCGAGCCTGATTTCGACCTCGATATCAAGGAAGATGTTCAAGAAGAGTGCTCCAAGTTTGGGAAGCTGAACCACATTTTTGTTGACAAGTGAGTAGTTAGTCAGTTCACTTCTCTCTCGTTTCTTCGAAGCTTACCATATCGGCCCCCCTACTTCTGATCTCTGATTTTTTCGACGGGTTTTTCTGTTAATCCAAACAGGAACAGCTCGGGTTTCGTGTACTTGCGATTCGAGACTGTCCAGGCAGCAATGAACGGGCAACGTGCTCTACATGGAAGGTGGTTTGCAGGAAACATGATCACTGCAACTTATATGGTATCGACAATACGTTCGGGTCGATATGTTTCTCGATCTCGGTCTCGTTAATGGCGATTTTTCTAACGAAACGTCGGTTTTTTTTTTTTTTTTGTATTCACAGACTCCACAGATGTACGAGGAGAAGTTCCCTGAGAGCAAGTAAAATGATATTTGGGACTGAGACAGTCGAGATGAGAAAGGTGAGTTTGGTCTGAAGCAGAATTTGATGGAATGATTACAGAATTGTGTAATGTGAAATTTACAGTATTTAGATTTTTAACATCTACAGAAAATATCCATTTGAAAGTTTGTTTTTAGTGTATGAAATTAGATTTAAGCAGATACTGTTTTTTTTTTGGGATTTTTTTTAATCTTCCATGTTACTCGCTTGAAATACCTTACCATTTGCAAATCCAAATCTTATGATCCTGAATCACCATTATATTATGTATAATAATATTATCCTTATCCTATTTTACATCTCGTAGAGTCCGTTGTTTGTTTTAAATCTAGAGTTTTGAAAAAAAAGCTTAAAAAATCTAGGTTTTGAATCTAACAATAAATTTTTTTTTAATATCACTTGTAACAAGTTTATAAATCGTCTAATAATACGTATATTATATTATATGACTACGAAAAATTTGCGCATATGTAATATATTAGTAGGATTAAGCGTAACTGGAGATAAGGGTGCGCTTTGGAATTCTGTTCAGAATTTTGGCGGTTTGGTTTGAGAATAATTTATTCGGTATTTTAAAATTTGCATAAAATTAGTACCGTATATTATTCGGTTCTGTTCTGATTTTGGTATGGTTCAATTTCGGTTTTTGTTAAAAGAATTTAGATTTTCTTAAGAAAATTTCGGTTTTTCGAGAATTTTATAAAGTTATGTTCGGTTCGTTTGAGGAAAATTCGGTTCTATAAAAAACACATCTTTTGAAAATTTTTAATGGTACGGTTCAAAAAAAATATCCGAGATTTTCGGTTTGGTACAATTGGGTTCCGAGTAACAAAATCAAAACACCCACCCCTAATTGGAGAGTTAGTTGTGTAGATATAAATATATGTATCAATCTTATTTGTATTTTTGAGTGTTGCTCTTCCAAAATTTACAATAATTCCAAATTATTTCTAATAACCCCTTCTCAAATAAATCTAGATTTAACCCTCTCGTTACTCTTCAATTCACTTCTATATTTTTCACCTTTTTATCTAATAATTTTATTTACCCATTTTTGTATGTTTACGGGTAAATAATACACCAAATTTTTTACAAAAATCTATAGATCTATTCTCCATTTTCTCTGTTTTGTAAAATCATCCATTTAGATTTTTGAAAAAACTGTTTTCCTTTTTTTCTCTACATATTTCCATTGTGAAATCTAGATTAAGTACCCTTTTGTTTTCTGGTTTTGGAGATGATCATTGCCATTTTACTAAACGTATCTTTATTCCTAATTCTTAAGAGAAAAAAAAATTCCTTCAAAAGTGTTACCTTAACAGATACGTAATAAATAGAAAACATTTTGCCCAAGAAATGAATCATGCATTACTACTTGATTGTTAATGAGCAGATGGAGACTAAACTTGATTGTGGTAATGGTGGATGTGATGATGGTGAAGGAGATGATGATGATGGTGAGGGCTGCTCATATCCTGATTGATTTGATGATCGTGTAAGTGATGATGAACCCCATGACCATGACCGTGGTGATTATCATAGTTTTGATGATATTCAACACCGTTCTTGTCAACATTCCCCATCTGATCATCATCATCACCACCACCATGCCATCCTCTGGATGTGTTTCTGGTTATTTCCAGCAATGAGTCCCTCACATGCTCGGCTTGCACCATCTCACTATCTTTCCTCTGCAACACAACAACATATATACATATACATATGTATGTTCTGTCCCTTTCTCATCTGCAGATCCGATATAAAATCATGAAGGAAGTTTTACCTCAACCTTGAAGACATTTGAGACAAGACCGAGGAAGCGAGTTGTGTTTGCGTTTGTGACCTCGAGCCCTAAAGAATCCATAGCCTCCATCAGCTTTGTGAATCCGCCCGGTTTGTATTCACATATCACCTTCACAAAAAACTCCTTTCCATCTACCTGAGCCACATCCACCTGTGGCTGAGACCCCCCACCCGAATGACAAAATCCTATTTCGTTACAACGAAAATGTAGCAGGAAAAGTGAGATTCTTGTTCTCGTTAAAGATGTAAACTAACCTCCATTTCCTGTCCTTTCTCGTTGGAACTCTGATCATGATCCATGTCTTGTTTCAGATTTGGGACATTGGTGGTGTTGCATGAGAGACCAGAGTGAAAGCCCTTGACCAGATCATTGTTACCTCCAATGGCGGCATTTCCATTGTGTCTATTGGATCCATCATCTGTGTCCAAATTCTCTTCAAGCTCCTCTTGTAGCTCCTTTGCCTCGTTCTGCAACTCCTTCACATAGTTTATCGCATCCCCGAGAATCGACGCCCTGTCCAACTATATATATGTATATCGCCAAAAAGGGTTTTAGCGAAAACGAAGAAAAAAAACACGAAAGAAAGAAGAATCGAATTCCGAGAAGTGTATGTGCAGATATATACCTTGGATATCTTTGGAACCAATGAGCGAAGAGCATAAAGCCTATCGTTTAACTTCTTCCTTCTCCTCCTCTCAGCCATCAGGTTCTTGGCCTGGGACCCTTTTCCTGTCTTCTTCTTAAACTTGGCATCATCGTCATCATCCATTTGATCACTACAATCCGAGCCCGAGTCCAACCTCCCATTCTCATGGCTGAAAGTTTCCTTATCGTGTTGTTCCTTGACCAGTAAGCTAGGGTCACAACCCTCAACGTTATGCATATCCATCGCACCAGCTTCCATGGAGTTGTGCAAAGCTTCCATGCCGGCAATCTCATCTTCAGCAACCACCGAGTTAAACGGGTTCATATCCATCTGCTTATTCTCCGGAAGGAACCCTAATCCGTGATAATCATTCTTCATCTTGATGTGTTCGGCCTCGTACTCGCCCAGCTGCGGCAAGAAATTGAGCCGGATTTGTTGATCGTACGAAAGATTCATATCCTCCTTAGCTCCTTTATGATCGAATCCTCCGGATATTTCATATGGCTTGGATTCAACCTCCTCTGCTCCCATCATGTTCATCGACAATGCCCCGGTCGATGTGTGATCCAATAAAAAATTGCATTCTCCCATTACGAAATCTACAACGTGCTGATCTTCAGACACCTACGCAATAACAACATTCGTTCTAAATGTTTTGTCCGAAATCTGCAACCAAAACTAGAAAGAGCTACAAGATTCAAGACAAAGTATTACAAGGAACCGTACGTACTTGTCTGGTCACAAACAGCTCGACCAGCCCACCTGGCACCGGAATTAATACCCTAGTGCAGGTTATTTCCTGAATTCAGAAACCAAAAAATCAAGGAAAGGAGTATATTCTGATCATCTGAAGAATCTTAGGATTAATTTAGGGTTTTTATAGAGAATCAAGAACATGGTACCTGCCGAAACTCTGGCTCCGACCTGTCCAAGAAGTTTAACCAAGCAGTTTGGTTTGACACCAGAGTCTCTGCATGAATCCTACAGCTCAGAGATCAAAACAAAAATGAGAAGACACATTGAGGAAAATGAATCGAAGACCGATACGTACACATGTACACACGTGTATATATATGTGTGTGTGTGTATAATACCCGGATTCGAGAGGGATTGAAACAGGAAGATTAGCCAAAAGTTCACAAGATTTGGTCCTTGGATGATGAAACATAACATCCCTACAACTTGAGGGCACATCGCCCGAGAAACAAAACCCTTCTCCGCCATTGTTGTTGCAGTCTAAATTACTGATGATCTCTTCTGCTCCGCCGCAACAACAACCCAACCACTTCACAAACCTGTCTTCGGATAAGAACTCAACTTTAACATGAAAGAGAAACCACTAAAAAATATATAATTAGAATATCGATAGAACCTTTGATCGTCACTCAGCTTCCACAGAACGCAGTAATCCCAACCTCTCGTCCCCACGAGAGATCTCAATTTCCCCAAGAGATTCTGCATTGTGCTTTCCATTGTCTAAATCACTGCATATATGTACATATTTATATATATACAAAATATAAAATTTAATAACCTTTTAGCAAAATCAAAATAAATACTGAACATGCATATATATATATATAACCAGAGAATCAAAAGGATCATAACATACAAATTGTTCAGACTGTGTAACTCGCCATAGAACATAAACAAAGGCAGAAAGAAGAGTATAATGATATATAATATATAAAAGATCCATACAAAGTTTGAGCTTTTCAATGGTGGCTCCGAAATCTCATAATATCACAATCACCAGAAGACCCATATGTTCCATTACAACTAACCTTGCAAAAACTTTACTTATATATATTCTTCCTGAAGTATATATGTATATATATGTGTGTATATGTATATGTAAGAGTATATTTTCTTTGTTCTTTTTTTGGCTATTTTAAAAGAGCTTGGCTGTTACTCTGGTAGGTGAAGTGCAGGCCTTGCATGAAAGGAAGAGATTGATAAATGTGTATATATATATATATATATACATGAGATATATCAATGTATACATATATGCATATATATATATATATGAAAGGGAATATATAATATGTGAATAATGATGGAAGGAGCAGATTGCATGACCTAAGATAGCGTGCAAAACCCTAACTACCTTTGTTGAGAGCTTCTCTTCGTTCCGTTTAGGTTATATATTCTTCTTTCGGTGTCTCAACTGCTCTTTCCCATTTTTCATTTTCTTTTTTTTGTCTTTTTAAATAAAATAATTAAATCAATTTCAAGAACAAAAAAACCGTTTTTCCTCTTTTAATTAGGATTTTGATTCTAAATTTGAAGATAATAACATCTCACGGATTAGATACTTTTAACATATATATATATATATATTCTTTGTATCAAAGATGAAACATAACATGTATATATATATATATGAAAAAAAATGTTAAGGTTGGACAAAGTGACAAGGGGGGGAAATAAAGGGAATATAGAGACATTATTGCGTAAGATGATGTGTAGATTTGAGCAAAGTTGGTTCAATCTTGTCTCCTAATCTATACTCATATAAAAGACCTAACTGTCCACCTTCTCTCAATCTGAAAATCCTATATATATATATATAATTTTGTACTATTTTAAATTATAAAATATAAAATGATTGACCAAAAAACAATAAAGATATTCTTATTTGCTAGCATATATAACCGTGGATCCAATATCAAGTGGCTCAACTGTTAATATATAGAGAAAACGTTTTTGTAATTCAGATTCGATTCTCCACTTTAATAGGGATATTCACATGGATTTCTCAATAATCTAGGAAGATATAATTGTACCTAAAACTCGGTGAATTTTCGAATTATAAAAAAAATATAAAAGTCGAATTGGTTTGGATTTAAAAATAATTTATGTTTTTGTCAAATCATTTTAAATATTTCAATTTTTATATAAAAACTAATTTGTGTTTTCCTTCGGTTCTTAAAATTGTGAATTGTTAATGTCATCCTCTATTTAAAAAAAAAATTATAAAAGACTTCTAACGGAAAAAATTAAAAAAAAAAAAAATAATCCAACGCTTACTAAAATAAAAATATGTGAAACTATGCGAGCAGTCTTTGAAAAGACAAGTTTTAGGATACTAAAATATTTTTCTAACAATTTTCCACCGTGTAATCTCATTTTGTCACAAGTCTTATGATTAGTTTAAGAAATCCATTTAATGCCCTTCCAAACAAAATTCGATGCTTTGGTCTTATTGAAATGAATGCTGAATAACTGATTCAAAGTGAGATTGACTTCCGACAGTGTGATTTCTTAGTAGTATTTTCACGTTTGGAGAGAGAGAGAGAGAGAGAGAGAGAGAGAGAGAGAGAGAATCATTTACAAATTAATTATTCAAGGAAAATAAATACAGCAATTATTAATTGAAATGGACAATCAAATTTCATTCGACCACATTAACAAAAGCTGACAATTCAACAAACGCATTCGTCCATAAGACGGTCCATATATATAGTAAAGGAACTATGCATGTAAAATATGTCATATTCATATCACATTACACCAAAAATAAAAACGATTTAAATGGAACTATGCCTCTTCCTTCCATTTATTATTACTTTCTTTTTTATGTACGAGTTATTTTAATGCAACGACAAGAAATTAAATGACATTGTAATTTCCTTGACACAAAAAAAAAAGGAAAAATCAAGTCGATAAAAGCATTCCCTTGAATGATCATTTTTATGGCATTGGGGCCTACAAGAAATTAAGTGACATTATAATATCACATCGACGATATAATATATATATATATATAACGTTTTAACAAATTGCTAAAGATTTTATTCAATTTATCAAATGATTTCAAATACAAAAACTTTAGCGTGTCACGTAAGATGGTTTTGGACAAAACGATTTTATTTGTTTTGCTTATGAAGAATATATTCTAAAACAATATATTTTATATGTATGGATCTAATTCTTTTAATGATGGAAAAAGCTTAATAAGATGTAAAATTTGAATAGAGGATTTTAAAAAAAACCCTAATATACGTATCTGTTTTTTTTTCATGTGATATTTATTCATAGCAGAATCTCCCATTTGCACGAAATTAATCTAAAAAGAGGAGAAAATTGAAACGTAAATGGCAAGAAAATAAAAGGGCACTTTCTAGAAAGTAATTTTTTTAAAAATGATATTTTACATTAATCACAAAGGTGACGCAAGTGATCTTATGTATGTGCTGACCAAAGCTTGGGAGATGTATAAATTTTTTTTCTAAATGTAAAAAAAATAAACTTTTTAATGAAGGAAAGTGATTAAAAAAAAATATCAATTTTGATGAATTATGGCAAAATCTCATTGGCATATTACTTTCAACAGATACTTTAGATACTCCAATAAAATGTGATAATTAAACGCTTTAGATTTCACTATTTTCAGAGAGAAACTATTTCATTGTTACCACACACACACACACACACACATATATATATATATATATACAGTCTGACTATGTATGGTCGATAGAAAAATCCGAATGATAACACAATTAATGATCAAGGAATGATATTATAAATTTGGGTGGACAGTTGAATGATATTTCACCAGAACAATCCAACATAACATTTGTTTTCGATTTTCATTAAGATTTTAGATTATGAACATAAAAAAATAAATAAATAAGGAAAGAAAGCTCCATAAATTTTTACAAGATATATATATTTTTAAAGATATTTTCCCCTTTCTGGATTTTTTTTCCAAAAAAAGAAACCCATTTAAAAGTAAGATTTTGTAATCTAATGTTCAAATAAGCGCGTATCTAAATAATCAGATCAAACATATTGAATTGAAATATCCAATAGATATATGTAAATTTTATTTTAAAAAAAATTCATCACAAACTATATATAATATGGTATAATATGTAGATATATAAATTCCACCCGAAAAATTAAGCAGATGGAAATTTTAATTACCTTCAAAAGCGAAGACCCCCGCCGGGATCTCTCAAAGTGTGAACGAACAAACGCACGTGGCTCATGCAAGAGCCTCTGGATCAGTCAGCAGGTTTAGAAGATTTTTATTTTCTTTTTTACTTTTTCATTTTTCTCGTTTTGAATCTCTCTCTCCCCCACTCTGTCAGCTTCTGGAAGATTGCTCCAAGCAATTCCCAGTCCAGCAATTAATGGTCAATCGACGAAATTTCAATAATTCCTCAGTTCCTCTCTTTTATTTATAGGTTTTGGTCAAAACGTATATAAAATACAGGGCCTCACATGCACCAGATTCACAGTATATATACACTCCATATACATTGTATATTCATTCCTATCTTCTCTCCTCCTCCTCCGTCCAAATCCCTCATTCGCTTTCCATCCCTCCGTCGGTATCTCTCTCTCTCTCTCTCTCTCTCTCTGCGTATATACATGTATATATGTATACTTATGCGTATATGCGCTTGCGTGGTGAAAGTTTGGGTCTTTAATCGAAAATCGGTGTCTTCTTCTACCGTAGAATCGTGGGTCTGTCTTTTTTTGTTGGTTTTGAGATTAGTTGATGGGTTTGAGTTATGTTCTATTATCTTATGCCCTGTTTGTTTGCCGAGAAATTTCTGGGAGAGAATTAGAGATTTTGACGGAAAGTTGGAAACACCTTTTTTTCTTTTTGGTTCAGGAGGTGGGGCTAAGCTGTCTGTTCAGCCCATCACCGCCTGTCAAAATAATCTACCGAACCCTTTTCTTAATCGATTCAAGTGGGTCGTATTGATAATTATAGGTTCAATGGGAGATGTCCTCAGAATTCAGAATTTTGTCTGAAAGAAGAAAAAATCCCTCGTCTTCTTATCTTACCCCCTTTATATATCGGGTTAGCATTTTGGGGATCGTCTTCTATATTAGTCTCGGAATTTCTTGCCGGGTATGTTTGGTGAATCTTTTAGGACAAAACCCCCCCAACTTTGCTTCGGTCTTGTCTTTTTTTTTTTCTTTTCCTTTTTGGCACAAAGCATGAATGGTTGGTGAAACCAGAACGGAATCCAATTGTGTTGGAGTTTGTTCTTTTACGTCCGTGTGTGGTTTTTGACCAATTTTATAGAATTTCAAGGCATAAAGTTTGGACCTTTGCGTCTCCTGAGCTGATTTTCAACCCCAGAAACTCTCATTCTCTCCGCCTGTACAGCTGTTCAGATTCTTGTTTTGTTTATGAGTGTGCGTGTATATATATGCTAACAGGTTCTTCTTCCCCGATTGTGCAGTTCATTTGATAGAAGAATTCCATTGAAAAGTTATGGAGCTCAATCGAAAATCTCACCCGGACTGTGTATATGCCACCAACCCTTACCATGAATGCGCTTCTTCGTGTTTAGAGAGAATTGCACAGGGAAATGGAAGGAACCACACCAAGAAGCAAGGTGATTTTCACTTTCTCTCGTCTCGGGGCGTATGATTAATCATACCGTAAAGCTCATCTCAGCTCGGTTTCCATTGATCCAAGAAACCGGTTTGGTATCGTGAATGTGCTTAAGTCATGTTCTACCATGATGATCCATGGATGGTTTTCCTCGTTTCCGAGCTCATTTCTGATGGGAAACTCGTAAAGGGTTTGTCAGTTTTTTACTGATTTCAAGTGTTGTTTATGACAGCGTCGAAGATTCTTGCAATATCAGCGAGCCTCGGGAAGAAGAAGAAGGAATCAAAGCCACCGTCACCATATGCCTCGAGGCCCTATCAGAACAATGCTGTTGCTAATAACAACGTTTCCCCTAAGGATCGTCGGCCGAACTCTGTAACGAATAAGACGTTTCTTGAAGAAACAAAGTGTTTCTCTTCTTCTTCTTCGTCTTCCGAGGATCTCCCTGCAGAGCAGTATTCTCGGCGTGAGCAAGAACCGCTC